GAGTACAACGATAGAGCTTGAAAGATCAAAGACAATTTTTAATATAACTCCGACTGGATTCGTCTGAAAGAAGAAAGTCATGTACACCTAGGATGACTTGAGGGTGAATAATTTATGGGCTAATTTTCATTTTTGGGTGAACTAACCCTTTAATGGCTTGACACTTGATTACGTTGAATGCAGGTGTCGCGTCGCGTCAAAAGCAAATAGAAATTTCAATAACTGCAGCTATCTTGTCTGAACTGGATGCGTGTTCACTTTCTGACACAGTCCACGTGCTTGAGTCTGTCATCAATAGGACAAAAGGAGTGAAAGAACGTTCACTTTGACGCGTTTGGTTTAAAGGGGTCATATGATGCTTTTTTAAAGATCATTATTTCCACATAGTGAGGTAGATATGTGGGGGCGTGTTAGAACGAGCCGTTTTAGGGGGGCGTGGCAGAGTCTTAACTTTGATAAAGTATATCTCTTTGGTTTTGAGACTTTAGTCTTTGCAACTTCAGGGATCTTATCTATGCACAATCAGCTTGTAACACTCCAAAGAGAAAAGAAAACTTGAAATTGCATCATATGACCCCTTTAAACAGCTCGTTCACGTCTTTGTACAGATATCAGAAGGATCCCAGTGTAAGGAACAAGTGGATAGGTTATTTTTAATGGCATCCCGGATCGTGTCAGAGGATCAAGAGCCTAGAATTAGGAGGGGATGCCAGGGGACATGTCCCTACCAATATCCAGCAACTACCAAATTGTCCCTAGCAATATTTTTGATCAAACAATTAAATATTTAAATAGCCTATATGTTTTTGTAATTTCGGACGCATCTGAAATATGTCATACTATTGATATTAGTCACCTAAGAAGTTGAAGTATATATGTCAGAAAACTGCTTTCAAGGACGCACATTTAATACATGATGGGCAGAGTAAGAACGTGTCGCACACCAGAGAAGAAGCCGCGTCTACAGCTCACACGTATCGCACCCAGTTAAGACAGCAGTCCAAAACAGTTAATAGAAAAGTTCACTTCAGGAATGAACAAAGTTTGAATTAGTTTGAAGTACGGTGTTTGACAAAACGGAGCAAACGGAAAGAGAAAGCGCGATCTATGGCTATTATTAGCTCTCTATATAAAGCATACTGACAGAAAGACAAACATTGCGCTGAAAGATGCACAGCACACAATCTTCAAGCCTAGGATGAAGTCATTATGTACATTTACAATAATTTGGGAAAAATATAATGTGATTTTCTGGAAAACTATGTGAGTGGCACTCTGTGGTGTGGCAGGATTTGTATTAGTATTTGGCGTTGATACTGTTTCCTATGCAATGACGTTATCCAATAATAACAGTGGCCGATTTCTGACAAGCCTTAAAGGACACGCCTCTTAAAACAGGTCATTTTAGACAGAGGGTCTAAAAAAAATCGCTTAAAGGACACCTATTATGCCCCTTTTTACAAGATGTAATATTGGTCTTGGGTGTCCCCAGAATGTGTCTGTGAAGTTTCAGCCCAAAATAACCAACAGATCATTTATTATAACAGCTGGAATATGTCATTTTTGGGGTGTGTCTAAAAAAAGAGCTGATTTGGAGTGTATCGCTTTAAATGCAAATGAGCTGCATATTCCCACCCCATCTCCAGAAGATGGCATAGCGTATACATCTCTCTACAATGCATATCTACAACAATAAACAGCCGGTAGAAGCAGCATGACTCAGAGCGAGAGAACCGGTGTTTAGCCGTACATGTGGGAAGCCAAATGCACTGAAAGTGGGACGAAACAGCACGATGTTACAGAGCTCGTGCCACGCTGACCTGTCATCGGCACGGATCAATTGACCGAGCCGCGCGACCGCGCTACCGAATGAATCTCGCGCTACGAACGACGCAAACTAATCTCACAAGCGCGGCGCTGATCAGTTAAAAAATACTTAATGTAAGCACACAAATACGGTTAAAATGCTAAGCACTATAACGACATGACATTCACAAAGGAGTCTGGAGTGATACACGTATTTAGGTAGATTTTGAGGCGCATTACCTTGAAAAATTTAAGTAACCCACAGCGTCCTCAGCAGCTCAGATGTTGGGAGAAAATGAAGACTCTTATGTTCAGTCTTACATCCAAACGCAGAGAATCGGGATTGCTTGCAAGACATTGTTGACGTTACAGCTGCTCGAGCGCGGAGAAAATGGAGGACAGCGTACAACCGCTGAAGGCTGAAACTATGGGCGAATTCCAAACGGAAGTGAGCATGCCCTAGCGTTTGGAACTCCCTTGGTGAAGGGAATGACTGACCAAATGTTACCTTGACAACGCTGCGAGGTGTTAGTTGCATTTCGGGGGAAGGGTCCATAGACCTCATAGTTGGCCCTTTGGTTAGGTGAGGGGGTGTTAGATATTATTTGTTAAATATAACAAATATTTGTGTGTCTGATTGGTCCAAATGCTACAGTTTTGAGGTGTGTGTGTGGACTGTCAATCAACGCACCAGTGTGGATATTCACTGTACTTCGGAATTACAGTTACTACGTCTTGGAAGTATGTCCAAAATAAGAAGTTTCACATGTCATCTGAGCAAGTAACATGTCTGCCAGTTTTGTTCTGACCAACTAAAAAAAAAGTTTTACAATAAATCGTGCTGCCAGTGGTGAATAAATCTAATGAACGCAAAGTTAGCTCAGATCACGTCAAACCGTGCAAATTATTATGGTTATACTTTGACATAATCGGGCTAAGATAAGGAGATAGTTTTGAACACTTGTTGGTTATGTACTTGCTCAGTGATTGATTTTGGATAATTTTAACCAAAAAAAGTTACACGGAGCAGCTGCTAGCTTGAAAGATCTTTTAAAAATGTATTACAATAATTGCACTTATAGGCACAAGGCCTTTGACACTGTGCATTAGACTTTAAATGACTCACCTCCAACTCACCTGCATGTTTGGAAGTTTAAAACCACATCCTTCTGGATCAATGTGAATGTGTGAGTCAAACTGGATACTTCAAACAGCAAGTTAATACTATTGTTAGCCTACACAGCACAAGACCATTAGATCAATACTGCTTAAAGCTTCGTGCTAGTAAGTCAAAGGTCCTACATCCAAAAAAAACCCAGGCGGTGAACTCAAGAATCACCTTATAACCTATGCTTAACCTCTGGCTGTTCTGGGGGCACTACATGTCACAGATAGTATAAGAAAACAACCAGCTTTACAACAGCTTTGCTTGAAGAAGGTTGTTTATTAATACAGTGTATGCGAGGACCATCAGTGTATTGTTATTCTTCAAACATTCTGTTTAAAATTGTGTTCTTTTCCCCCACCACTACCAATTTCTGCAGTTATTTAGCATACAGACTCTTTTTATACTTTGCTTTTTGCAGATTATATGTTTTTGTTTTGTAATATATATATATATATATATATATATTAGGGATGTAACGATTCACTCAACTCATGATTCGATGA